GTCTGGGGGGGCTATGGGGGTAGTTGTGAGGTCGGGTGGAATTATGGGGGCACCCACCAGGTCTGGGGGGGGTGTGGGGGTACCCACCAGGTCTGGGGGGGGTATGGGGGCACCCACCAGGTCTGGGGGGGGTGTGGGGGTACCCACCAGGTCTGGGTGCGGCAGCTTCTTGGTGAAGATGCGCATGGAGCCCTGGAAGACGTCGGTGACGATGGCTGTGGGCACAGGGAGCCGTGTTGGTGGGAGGGGACACGGGGGAGGCTTGGAATGGGGGGGCATGGGGGTGATGTGGGGCACAGGGGTGACCAAAAAGGCACAGGGATGGCAGACAGGTGGCACAGGGGTGGCGTGGGGGTGATAGACGGGTGAGGTGGAGGTGCCAAAAGGTGGCAGAGGGGGGACAGAGGGGCATGGGGTGACGTGGAGCACGGGGGTGACAAGGGGTGACTTGGGGCACAGGGGTGGCAGAAGGGTGGTAGAGAGGCATGGTGATGGCAGAGGGGTGACATGGGGCATGGGGGCGGCACGGAGGTGACAAGGGGGTGACAAAGGTGGCACAGAGGTGACAGCAGGGGTGACAAGGGATGACATGAGGTACAGGAGTGGCAGAAGGGTGACAATAGGGCACAGGGGTGGCAGAGGGGTGACAGAGGGGGTGACAAGGGAGTGACAAGGTGTTACGAGGTATAAGGGGTGACAGATAGGTGATGAGGGGCATGGGAGTGACAGAGGGAGTGACGTGAGGTGACATGGGCCATGGGGGTGACTGAGGGGGACAGGGATGGTGAGGGGGTGACATGGGAGTGACAAGGGGCAGGGAGTGACATGGGGGTGGCAGAGGGGTAAATGGGTGACGTGGGGTGACAGAGGGGATGACCAAAGGGGCACAGGAGTGACATGGGGCACAGGGGGTGACAAGGAGGGTGACAGAAGGGCATGAGAAGTGGCAGAGAGCTACAGGGAGTGACATGGGGGGGTGGCAGGGGGGCATGAGGGGGCAACCAAAGGGGCACAGGGGTGGGAAAGAGGTGACAAAAGGGACACTGGGTGACAAGGAGGGTGACAGAGAGGCATAATAAGTGGCAGAGGAGTACAGGGAGTGACATAAGGGGTGACAGAGGGGTACAGGGGTGACATGGGGAGTGACAAAGGCATAGGGGGTGGCTGAAGGGGCACAGGGAGTGACATGAGGGGTGACAGGGAGGCACAGGGGTGACAAAAGGGACACGGAGTGACAAAAGGGGGTGACAGAGAGCAAAGGAGGTGATAAAGGAGGGATGAGGGGTGACCAAAGGGGCACAAGGGGCAACGTGGGGGGTGGCAGAGGGGCATGGCGTGTGACAAAAAGGCACGAGGGGTGACCAAGGGGACACAGGGGGTGGGAAAGGGCTGGCAGAGGGGCTCAGGGGGTGACATAAGGAGCACGGGGACAGCATTGGGGTGACAAAGGGGAGCCCGCAGCCCCCACACCCCCCACTCACTTTTCTTCTTCTTCTTGGTGCCACCCAGGGCTGAGTGCAGCGCGTTGAGGAACCACGAGAGGAAATCCACCCCATCCCCTGCAAACAGGAGGAAGAGGAAGAGGAGGAGGAGGAGGAAGAGGAGGAGGAAGAAAAAGATGACAACTGTGGGTGCAGTGCTGGTGGCAGCAGCCGGCCGCATCCCCCGGGGCCTCACCTTGCTTGGTGATCTGGAAGTTCTTTTTGCTGCACAGCACCACGGCCTGCAGCATCTCGTGGGGCGAGACGTGAGCCTTGAAGTTGCGGGGGTTCCACAGCTTCCTCATCAGCTCCCCAAAACGCTGCACCAGGAGGAACATGATGTCCCCGGGAGGCCGTTTGATGTTCTTGTAGTTGTCCTCCTCCAAGAAGTAATTCCGCAGCGGGGGGACGTTGGACAGAGCCTGGGGGCGGCACGCAGTGTGGGCACGACACCCAAAAGCGATTCTCTGCCCCTTCTGCACCCCCCTTTCCCCCCCAAACCCAAACCTGCAGCACGGCGTTGGCGTAGTCGTTGGCTTTGATGTTGTTGAGCCCCACGATGCCAGGCAGGTACGTGGTGCCATCGTAGGCACGGGACAGCTTGGCCTGCTTGTCCAGGTTGCTGATCTGCTGCGCGGTGAAGGTGGGCTTCAGCACGTACTGCACAACGGAGGGGACGAGGCGGCGTGATGACGAGCAGGGGGACACAAAGCCAATCCCCCCCCCTTCGCCCCCACCCCCAGGTGCTGCAGCGCACCGTGATGTCCTCCAGCGAGGAGTCGATGATCTCGTAGTTGTCAGGCAGGCAGTAGAACTTGAGGGTGTGGAGGTTGAGGAAGACGTGGTGGCTGAACTGCACGCTGTGGATGTAGGCGTGCGACTTCAGCCCCCGGCCTGCGGGCGAGAGGAGGTGTCAGGGCTCAACCCCCCCCCCAAAAAAAAAAGCAAAGGGTGGGGAGGGGCTGAGCACCCCAGCCCACAGCTCTCACCCTGGAAGTATTTCCCACACACCAGGCAGGCGTAGACGTTGATGTGGGACAGCGAGATGGAGCAGAGCTTCTCAAAGTCAAAATCCAGCACGCTCCTGCAAGGCAGGCAGAGCTGGGGGGCGGCCATGGACCTCCCCCCCCCCGGTGGTGCTCATCTCCACCCTCTGCCCCCTCCCCACCCCTGGGTGCCCCCTCCCCACCCCTGGGTGCCCCCTCCCCACTTCTCACTTGTTGATGGTGTCCAGGTAGGGGCAGTGACGGCTGCGTTGGTCCTCGGGGTCAAAGCGGCCATAGCGCACTGTGTGTCAGAGGGGGGGGTTGGGGGGGCACAGCTTGTTGGTGAATGGGGCAACAGGGGGGAGGGCTCAGATCTGAGCTCCAAACCGGCCCCAGTCCCACCCCACAGAATCCCACAGCCCCCCCCACCCCACAGCTCCCCCCATAGCCCCGGATCTGACCTCAGATTCCCTCGTCCCCCACCCCACACCCCTATAACTGACCCCCCCAGACCCAGCCCTGGTTCCCCTGTGCCCCCACAGAGCCCCCCCTGCTGCACGCCTGGTCCCACACACCCCACACCAGCCCTGGCTCTGCCCCACAGGCTTTACGTGATCCCAGCCCCCAGACCCAGCTCTGCTCCCCCCAACCTGACACCAAACCCCCCA